TCTTCTCCCTTTCATTTTTTTCTAATTACCATTCTAATCTGTTGATCCTTTCTTCAATAGCTTTCTTCTCTTCTATCCACTCTAGTCTCTCTTTTAACCACCTGCTTCTTTCCTCTCTCCATTCTTCTTCTCTTTTTTCTAATCTTTCCATCAACTCAAACATACTATCTAATCTCTTTTCTATCCTACTCATCTTATCATTTTGTTTTTTAACATCCTGACTTTCATCCTTTTTCTCTTTTTCTCTCTGGAAATTCAGGGTGGATTGATCTTTGATTTTTGGATTTGTGTTTGTATTACTTCTCGTGTTAATATTTGCGTTTTTTCCTGTCATTTTCAAAATTTTACCGACTCTACAGATATCTTCCTCACCGACTCTGTCAATTCCGGTAATTCAGAAATTCTTTTTATCTACTGCCAGTAACCAGGTTGTCAAAAACTTCTTTATCTACTGTCTCTATAAAAATATCCTTCTTTTTCTTTTTAAAAAAATTTAGGGTTCCTTCTTTATTGACCACGTAACTACCGTCGGAAAATTTGGTATCTTCTTTATCGACTTTCTCCGTAGGTAACCGATAAAAAGAAATCACCTTTCCCTGCCCGTGCCCTTCCTTCTTATTGGGTTTCCTAACCTCACTTTTTCTTATACCCTTGTTTGTCCACTTTTTCACTATTCAGTGTTTACTTTTCTTTAATTATTATCACTTCTTTCTTTCTCCCTTTTCCTTTGTATACCACTTTTTCCTTTGTTCATCCGATTGCACTATTCTTTTGCGACTTGCATCGACGTCTTGTTCATCTCTCACGTTCTCTGTCCTACCTGTTTTTCAATCCTTTATAACCCTTCTGTTTCACTTTCTTTTTCACTTTTTGTCACTGTTTATTATGTCCTCATGTATTTCACCACTTTTTTAAGACTTTATCACCACTTTTTTAAGACTTTATCACCACTTTTTTAAGACTTTATTACTGCTATCTACCCTTGCTTTTTCTTCTATTTATTGCTTTATTCAGGAGCTCACTTTTACACGTCCACTCTCCTACGTGTCCACAATGGAAGTCCATGTATTTATTTCTATTGACTGCCAGTCATTGGAGCAGTGCCAGTAATACCCACAGTTAGCCTATTGTATTGTATTTGGTTATCCTGATTGTACTAATGATATGGAAATGAATCTTTTGAATTTAAGGATAATGTGATTGAAAAATCTTAAAGCAACATTATTGAATGTAGGTAGTACTGTAGGGACCTACGCAGGAGATAACGTTATTTCACCTTCGAGCATGTGTTGTTTCATTTCCCAGGATAAAAAAGAAAAGATGAACTCCTTTTGTTATTATTGGAAGTATTGTTAAAAGACTTGTCGGCTTAGTCACAGAAGACGGTATCAATTTATAAACACTAACATCAACAATTAGCAAGCCGATCAAAATGAATATATTAAATTGTATGAACAAAATAGCCATATTTTGCAGCTGCATTAAAAAAATTATATAGCACTACGAAACGCCATGAGTATATTTTAAAACAAGTTAGTTGCTGGCATATTGACTTGAGGATACCATTGTACTCCCGACAGATATCTGATACATTAATCAATATACCTTAGAAGAACTGAAGCTACCCTAGATCATATTATTCGTTCCCACACAGATCTGATTAGCATCTTGCATAATCTACTAAGTAATCAAGTGCATCCAAAGTTATTTTTTCCAAATATGTTTAGAACCGTAGCCCAAGATGTAAAGAACCTAGCAGGAAACCTAGAATTTTCAGCACCAATAGGAAATCTTTATACTGGCAAAATAAGCACTTAAAGTAAATGAGATGTTGTGCATTGAGATGATAAAACCATGGTAATACTACATTTGCCACTCGTAGATCGAATCCCTTATAACATTTGTAGACTTTATCCAGTCATGATACCCTAACCTGGACAGATTGAACCTGCCTACATAAAACCATCGTACTCCTACTTAGCAGTGCAGCAGACTATAGTTCGTATTTACTTATTAAAGGAACCCTATTCTATAAACAAATGTGAAATTCTTATGTTATTACGACCTAGATCAGAAGTATTTACACACTCTGAAACTATATCGACACAGAAAACGGAAAGTCAATGGATTTACTTATCAGCTGATAATTAATAGTTATTCTCGGTGGCTAATGAAAAATAATTTGGCATTATCCGTCCTTATTGTATAGATCGACTAGAAAAATTAAAAGGTATAGATCTTTTACAAATGGATGATGGGTGTATGGGAAAAATACACAAACTAACCTTAACTAGTGTACATAAGATAATTACTCAGATAATATATACTTATCAGATAGAAGTACACTTGAACTTGACTGTATTGCATAAACCCGTACGAAAATAAAATATTTATTCCATAAATATTTAAGCTATGAAATCGATTCCAGAACTAAATTTTAATGAACAAAATTGATGTACGTAACATGAACTAAATGTAGGAAATGCGAACCCGCAAATTGGAGATAAAGAAACTTATCTTTTTATTTTTATACGTAATATGATTGAAGCTATTATCATTATAATAATAATAATAGAAATAATTATCATCTGAGCAAAAAGTTGTTCTAAGAGGACTATCAAACATTGTGTATCGAAATTATTTATAAATGCACCATCAATCCACTGAATACAGAATCCTGAGTAACAATTAAATGAGAACCAAAAAAACACGAACTGACTGAACTTTTCGTCGAAATAAAGAAAAAACCTAAAAAATCTAAATCATACAAATCTTGACCTGTAATTAAATCACGGAATTTGATACTCCCATGGCATAAACCACAAAAGTTAGAAATAGGCTCATAGATCAATAGTAATTGGATACTTTTATTCCTTTCAGGCTTAATGATAAACTTAAATTGTGACTTTGAAATCACAATAAAGACCAAAATCAACATTCATCATTTTTTACATAAAGTTATTGAACAATTAGTAAACAAAGAAAACATCAAATAAATGCACATAAATCCGAATTCACACAGTGATACACAATGAACTATAACTTAATTTACGCTCACGAGTCATATATTAAAGGACCTAACGAAACACTTAACGAAAAAAAAGAGATTTGGATACCTTCTTAATTTTTTTTTTTTTACTTTTTACTGCTTATTATTTGACCAAATAACTTGCATGAATTCCGAATGGAAATGTTTTTAATAAGAATTTTTTTCTTTCGTTTAAGTGTCAGGAATAGATGTAAATTTTTCACTGGAAAGTTTTTACATTACGTGTCAATACACTACTTTGTTCCATTTAGTGAGTCTTGGGCGAAGCCGCGACGGGGGAGGGGGGGGCGTTAGGTACAGTATACTATTTACTCTACAGTAATACGTTAATGCTAGAAAATTAAAAAAAACTTATATAATTATTATAATATGTTTATTTTTATCATAACAACATTTATATTTAAGATTATTTCAAATAGATTCTTACGCGTAAGGTTAGAATAGTTTCAATAATGGAAAGGCACAAATCGATCCACTTCCTACCATAACTTGGATTACTTTTGTGTGCGTAGATGTGTATTCACCGAAGACGGCGATAGTTTTAAGAACGGGAGACTGCTAAGTGCCGACGGACATAAATAATTTTATTTGTCTCTTTCCTAAGGATGAAATTTTAAGACTGTCTAAAATTTCATTCTTAATGAAAGTCAACCCCTAACAAATCTGGCTGTCTCCTTCGTGGCCTTCGGAAGTGTCAAGTGGCAACCAAAGCGAGCCACTAAGCCTTAACTCATGAAGTCAGCAAGTGCCGGCCTTGTAGTATGTAAGACAGAAAAGTTTTGACTAAGACTTCGCGCAAGGTACATTTCTTCACGCGGCGTTTTAGTTAGTAGCTTTCCGTTGGTCATCGAGTGTGGACTGGTTGTTGATTAATTTTGTTAGATGTGCCACTTGTCAAATTGGAATATGCAGCCGGACATTGCTCTTATTGACATTGATATAAGTGTCATAATATGTAAATAATGTTATAAAAAACAAAAGTTAAATTCTATCAAATAGTGACAAAATTGTTCCTGATAGGTTAATAGTTACATAAAAGTATACTAAGGATATGATTAAAACAACAGTACACAGTAACAACATTGAAATGAAAAATTAAAAAGATGTATGATCTTCACGGAAAGAAAAATAAGATACACCAATTCAATATTTCTTAACACTTTTATACACACTGTCTCTCTCTCTCTCTCTCTCTCCCTCTCTCTTCTACACTTTTCTTAACTAGTAAATAACCAAATAGTTAAATTATCTGCTGGTCCCGCAGCATGTAATGGAGCATGATACTGCAGTCCATAATCCTAAGTTTTAACTCTAAGGTAGGTTTAAATGATAATTATAATCATTTAACAATCATTATTGTTGTCATTATTATTATTATTATTATTATTATGTATTTCTACAATTCTCCAATTGGTTTAATAAATGATTCTACTTTTTTTGTTAAGTTTTGTTCTAAATCAAAATAACCTTGGTGTAACACAATGCACATAATATGGAATGCACAGAAAGTTAGATCCCATGATATAGAAATGAAAAATCATCTGATACCTTGTAACTTGTGTTGACTTTATAATTTGTAGATTTTTTGGACATAAGTTTTGTCTTATGGTATAATGAAGAGGTTTCGAAGGATAAATAATTGTTAAATCAAAATACCACAATGTAACAGTTAACGGTACATGAAATTTTTTCAGGAATTAATGTGAAAAGTAGTATCCTAACATCCCACACAGTGATAGGTGAGCTCTCGTACTGCCCTGATTACTGTAATAAGATGTATAGCTTTAAAGAGTCTGAAGTAGTGTGGCTTTACTGTATATTGTGTGTTTATTAAAGTTCCATGTTATTAGTCTTATGAGTATATTTCTTTGCGAATGGGCATTATTAATCTTAGAAAACTGAGCAAACCTTCTTGTAGATGGATTTGAAACTACAAAATTTTTTGTTTCAGCTTGTGGCCGATTAGCCGTTTAAGACTTTGCCAATACGTGATCGTAATAGTAAAGGTATTGGTTTTATAATTGACTAAATCAACTAGTGACGTAAAAAACAATGGTATGACACCACAGAGAGTAACGGAGGAAGTCACTACCAAGCTACTCAAGCTGGTGCCTCAAAATTTTCCTAGCAATATCGAAACAATGAAGGCTTCTTCTTCCTCTAATTCCATTACTAGTGCAATCCTGCTACCTAACCAAAAGCGCTCCTCAAAAGACTTTATTTTTGGCAAGATTATTGGCGAAGGCAGCTTCTCTACGGTAAGTGTCTTTTAGCATCGTGTCGTACTTTGTTTCCTCATCAGTTTTATGTACCTTTTCTTTCCTTGTTCAGAGATCAATGGTATATAATTCGCGAAAAGTTGAACTATATAAGCAAAGGCTCTTTCAAGTTAGCACTTGGGATTTTTATAGCACAAAACTCTCAGATTTTTTAAGTCCTTACTTAATGCAGCATAAGTTTGTATCAAGAGAATTTTGGCAGAAACAACTGATTTTCTATGGATCAAATTTACTCGAAGGGATTATCCAAAATTTAATAACTAACTTTTTTTACTAATTTACTCAATTATTAATTTATTAGGGAGTAAAAGATAACTAAGCACAGTATACGCCCCTTGCATAAACTAAATATGATACAGAGAGCAATCAGAAGAAAGGGGAGAGAGACAGAGCTACATTAACTTTAATGGTGAATTTTTTCGTGATCTCTGTGAGCTGTTATCATTGATGTACTGCAAGGCTTAATTCTTGGCCAATGTCGCAGAGACCCATAAATTTCAAACGTTTTTAGTCACATATTATACATCATATTTATACTGTCCTGGACATTGTAAACTATGAGATAAATTTTTCACATTGACAAATTGTACCAGGAAAACAATTTTTTCACTTAATTTTCAATTAAAACCTCATTGCTGTTGCATTTTTTCCCACATTATCTTTTGTACTTTTTCGTTGCTGACCTAATTACCTAAGAATTAAAACCTTTTACAGGTTGCTAAGTGTTTTTGTTCATATGAAAATAGCCTTACAAAAAGTCTAAAAGAATATCACTCGATTGATTTTTATGTTTATTTATTAGGAGTGGTTTTTAGATATAACGATACGTATACACTAGAAAAAATAAGTTGGCTGTTAATACTACCAAAAGTACCTTTAGTGGCTTACTCATACTTATGGTGCTGCTGCGCATCTGCAACTAAAACTTCAACCAAACTTTCGATGTCCTGATATTATATTTTTGATCTGTTGCAGGCGGAAACACTTTTTAGCATTTACCACATGATGGAGGGTAACTATAATAAGAACTTTTTGGGTTTTTCTTAATGTATTATAACCATGATTAGAACTGTAGTAGAATACGATTTTGATTTGCTAATTATGTTTATTATACATTACCTGTCTAACTTTCGATAGCAGCATCCACCATGTCATCACCTGCTAAAGAGCAAATTGTTACTATCAAGATATTTATAATAATAAATTTTAGAGCCTGTTTTTTTCTTGGCGATTTGTTTAGCCATTAGGGGACTTTTTAAAAGTAAACTTGACGAATCCAAGTGGAATGAAAAATGTTTTTTAGAAGGCAAAAGTACTAGGTGTGTAGTCGGAAGAACACAAAGACAGTTCAAATAAAATTATTATTAATTTCCACAAAGCTAGATCAAATAAAGTGATAAAATAAACACCATAGTTTGTTTGTTTGTTTGTTTTTTTTTATTTTTTTTATTTTTTTTTTTAGTGCTTTACATCCGGCTCCTATAAACGGCACTACTCTGGTCTGGGCACTTAGCACTTAGGAGAAGGAAGGGAACAGGGATGGGAGGCCTCCCATTCTTGGGAGGGGGGTAGGGGACAATGAGGCAATGTTGCCGCGAGAAGGTCACCTAACCCTTCTCGAGGAGCATTGCGTGGTAAAAAAGCACGTTTAATAATTCACAAAGGTACTTACCCGAAAAAGTTCCACTGGCCGGGAATCGAACCGTGATTTCCCGCGTGCCGACCCACGACCTTGCCGACTGAGCCACCGCGCGCTCCCATAGTATTTTTCTTACTATTTGCTGTTTTTTCGCTATTAAATTAATTTGCTTGCCGCAGCCGTTTCCACAAAAACCTGAAGCTCCGCTGACTTGAACTAAAGTAAGTGTCACCATCGCTATATCCTGGGAACCCTGAGCCTTACCAAGTTAAATTTTTACTCATAACCATTAAATAAAACACTCTGAAGTTCTTTACTTCAAACCCCTGTACTTGTAAATCAGAAACTTCAAATTGGATAAATTTTCTTTTGAGAATTTAAATTTTCTTCCGCTTTTATTTGCACCTTAACAGAATTCTAGAATATAATGTGATAAAGATATAATAATATATAAATAATACAATACTACAATAATAATGAAGTAACGAGACATAATGATAATATAATGTGTAATAATGACACAGTTATAGCATTATACACAATGAAAATGTAATACAATATTTGTATATTTCTTTCTACAGCATGCAAAAGCTTGACAAAAGTCGCGCTTTTTGAATCTTTGATCAGGTAGGGGGCTTTAAACGAAGATTCATACCACACCGTATTCGCTATGCGCTTCTACGGTGTTGCTCCCATTGTCATTAATTTCCCTTATTAAATCTTATAGAGCAAAATAGTTAAAGCAGCCGCTAGCAAAAGTTCTTCACATTCTCATAAGAATACGTGTTGAATTGGCAAGTATGGTCAAATGACAGGCGCATATCGAATAAAAGTAAGCGATGGTTACAATACTCCCTTCAGAACACTCACTGTAATTACTGGTGCCTTAATAATTATGGCTCCTTCAAGAATTTGGTGATCACTAGTGTCCGCTGTCAAAACTGCAGTAAGGCTTACCACGTTTCTTGTGCGGCTCGTTCTGTGACTGATACCAAGAAAGTGTACCACTGTTGCTGAGATATATACTTTCTGATAAATCACCTTCAGTCTCACATTAGTCGAAAAGACAGAGTCCTGATCCTTAGAGTTTATAAACCACTGTCAACAATTTATCTACTTCTGCTAACATGCCGTATTTAACGATGTCGTAAAAGGCACCACGCTTGACGTCATAAAGCGCTCAATGAACTCCTTACTTCTAAAAATTACATAGCTGGAAAACAAGGTTGATGCTAGCAATACCTCCATCAAGACTTGAGTTGATAAATTGAATCAAACCATAAGTACTTTAGAGATGTTGCAATAGATATGGAAGATAGACTTAACAGGTTTTCAAATGCCATTCTGTATAATGCCCTTAAACCTCCAAACAGTTCTAGTCAAGGTACAGAGAGTAAGGTTGCTGCTAAAAACTTATTATCGGATATGGAATTACCAATACTAATCAGATGGATCGTCTGGGACAATTTCCCTTTGCAGCCAAACCAAAGACTCTTCTGGTCTCTGTCTAGCAGGAAATATGTCATGCCTTTGATCTCTTAACCCTTTGAGTAACCTTCGGGTATCAATATCACCTCTGATAAAACCAAAGCCTTACAAGCTCATCTTTCACAACTAGTGGATTGGGTGAAGAGGTATAACTCAACTAATCCAGCTGTAAGAAAAATAATAAAATACATTAAAGACCCTTCGACAATTATTGATGATCAACAATCCTTTCATTCAAACACAAACCCTCAATAATTTTAATAGTGACAACATATTCGTGTACTATAAAAATGTCAGATCTCTGTACAATAAATTCTCTCCAATAACACAAGGCAATACAACTCCAGGCATAATAATCTTCAAGGAAACTTGGCTAAAACCACATACTTTTGGCCTCCGAGCTGCCTCTACTCAAGTACAACATATACAGATAAGACAGGCATGCAGGAAAAAAAATGTATAAACGTGGTGGTGGTGTCTCAGTGGCAATAGACAAAGACATACCATCCAACCGAATTCTGTTAGAAATAAACATTGAGTTCATGGTTATACGTATGCAAGATGCTGCGTTCGATTTTATTTTAATAGTAGTCATACACTGAACTTCATGACGATGTTGAGTCACTCAAGAACTTATATTCTTCCTGCAAACTTTTAATACGTAGTAAACTTCACTATACTACTTTTCTCTGAATCTCTGACTGAAAGCGTCTTCCCAAGTACTTGGAAACCGGCATGTATATATTTCCCATGTACAAATCTGGAAACCCACAACTCCAGACCTATGGTAACAACTATAGATCCATCATTCTGCCGAGTCCTTCACCAAAACTGATTAATCACGTAGTACATAAAACATATATCTCACAACAACAGCCCGGGTTTACTGAGGGTTGCTGAACCATCACAAACCTATTCACGCTTAGCCATTTTGTCTTATCTGCATTTGAGTCAGATGCACACGTTGATATTATTTTCTTAGATATGGTTAACGCTTTTGAAAGCGTTCCCGTTATATACTTCTTGTACACTATACAGATGGCTGGCCTCATTTCTTACAGGCAGAACTTCAAGAACAAATGAATGAATCAGTATGTTGTTTTCGAATAGTTTTTAAACTTTCCCGGTTGTGGATGAGTGTTCATTAAGTTAAAAAATTTATGTTTATAAGACTTAAAATTTATGTTTATTACGATATAAAGAGTAAGTTACTATTATGTATTATTTTTTCATATTAACTAAATGAAAAACAATGAAATTCAATTAATAAAAATTACAAAATGAGGTTGTCAAGGGGAAAAAATCTTCAAAAATATTTCTTTAAATGCTCTTCTATCTTCTAGTCAAAAACATTTAGTATCTTTTACTTCTCTTGGAAACTGGCCATCTTTTACAATATATTAAGTTTTGATCTATTTTCTACCAATGTTTAACGATGTCATATTATTGATCGTTATGTGCATTGCAAAGTTATTGGTCGCATCTACAAATAGTAATTGATAAATAATCGATAAATTTAAGGTAGTTTAAGTCCAGAAGTTAATTTAAGTAACTCATAGAAAATATTCTTGTGTAGAGTTTCAGAGTTTCACAGTGGAAAATTATAGGTGTTACAGCATACGTTGGAATTAAAAAACTTGTTTCCATCAGAGATTAAAAATTAAAGAACTTATGTGAATAAGGGAAAACAAATGAAAAATATTTATGTCAACAAAAACATATTCACGTCAACAATCATTATGACGTCTGCAAAGTTAACACAAACTAATAAATACTTAAACACAGTTCTACGTACCAATATTTATTTGGTATGAGAAAAAATGAATCAAGAGCTTCATACGTGAATAGAGAG